TGTATATGGACTTCCTTTATTTATGAATGAACTCTAACTTTCAAAAAAAAAAAAGATTCAAATTTATACAAAGTCATAATATACTGAAAAATGATTATACCTTTCCCCTTGCAACAGACTGTGTTTGAAGATTGGTACTCTCAATAACAATTGAAAGTATTAGATGAGATCTTGAACTTTCTTCATTCATCTGTGTCCCAGATATGTGTCTTCGTTCTGATCCTCTATGAATAATGCTTTTTAACTCCTCAAAAGTTGATATTGGCATAACTGCTGCATTTTCTACGGCCACCATTCCCTGAATATCACAAACTAAAAGCACATGAAAACTAGACAAATAAACTAAGCCAGGGAAAATCATCATAGAAAATTTTATAGCAAAAAAATTGTGTAAGCTATATAAATTCTTCGAGAAGCAATACCGATGAAGGTACAAGCCACAATCTATCCACTATAAGCAATTATACCTTCGGATCTTTCTTTATATCAAGTTTCAGACGCTTAGCATTCTTTGGTAATAACAAGTCTACAAGTGTATCCTGGTATAACTCCACCATATATGCCTGTCACGTTAATGATGAATGTTAGTAGTTAGTTGATGGGATAAAAAATTTGATTTTCAAACATTTTTAGACGGACCATTATCAATTTAGGTCAAAATGAAAAGGTCTTGTCACGTTGAAAAGAATTGTGAGAGTGCAACCTGACAGTTTTGAACTGTTCAATTAAATATAAGATCATGATTCAGATGTAGACATTCAACATCATAAAAGCAAGTAATATGGTGTATGCTTTATGCATTTAATGTCCAAATTATTTGGAAAAAGAAACCTGTTATGTATATAACTTATACTATTTTCAAAATAATTACCTTCAATGAAAATGAGAATTTGTTGCTATCTCGCCTTAAAATTTTGAAAAGTTCGGCAATAGCTCGAGGTGTCAATCCAGGATTGCTATCTGATCCATATATTGTAAATGTCTTTCCAGAGCCAGTTTGACCATAAGCAAATATGCAAACATTGTACCCATCTACAGCTGATTGCACCAAGTACTGCATCATAAAAAACAAAAAAAGGAAAAGGTGAAGGAGATACAGTAACTTAAAAAACTACAAAATTAAAATCCCATATCAAAGTAAATTTAAAACAAACTACCAAGGTGCATCCAGATTACCCTCGTATCACCAAAAACATCTTCTTGGGTAGCATTGTCATCATAGACACGATCATACATGTGTTGTTTTATTTTATCATCCTTCCAGGGATGTTCAACCGTGAATTCATCCAAGCCTGTGAGCACTTTTCTTTCCTTTTCAACCATCTCTTTCTCATTTAAAGGTCTCACACGACAAAAAACTCTAACTTTGCCTTTCATATCTGAAGTTTAAACAATGGTAAATCATTTAGTGGTCATTTAAAAGGGAAAAAGATTTAAATAAAAAAAAAAAAGCTCAACTTGAGCTATGAACTATATGTTATAACAAATACAATATACTAAAACAACTTCAACATGATATTTCCAACAATTTATTGAATAATTTGTCTACTTTATTCCAACCTTCTATTGTATTAAAATATCGCTTTCTTAAAACTTGTTCTTCCTTATAAAGCACTTCTAACTCAGCAAGTTGAGCCCCTTGCATCTTCAAGATAGCGGCAGTTTGTTCATTCTTTCTATCAATATCCTGACAGGGCAATAAAACTTAATAGGTAAAAATGGATTCAGCTAATGAATTGTGAGCAACAAGGGCATAAACATTGAATTCCCTGCAGGATTATGGAAAATTTATATCTAAGTCCCATACATAGAGGACATACTTTAAAATTTAAAGAGACCAGTACCAGTACCTCTTTCATTTCCCTCAGTTCCTCTAATTCTTTTAAATTATTCTGCAGTGCGGCAAAATCTGCATTCCTAATTGCAAGAGTCGACTCTGCAACAGCCAACTCTTTGGTAACCCCTTCCAACTTCTTTTCAAGTTCGGAAACTTGAAGCTTTAAGGCTTTACATTCTTGCTCAAGGCTCTTCTTGAGAATTTTCACCTATATTTTGAGTACCAGTCTGAATCATCAATCTAATTACCATGTAAAATCAGCTACTTGCACAAATATAATTCCAATCTCACTACACTACCTCGTCATCTTTCTTCCTTTCTAGTCCAGAAATCTTCTGTTCCAATATGACCTTCTCATTTGTTAATCTTTTTGCCTTTTCTTCAGCTATATGCAACTCTCCTGTACGAAGTTTCAACTCATCTTGGAGCTTCTGCACTGACTGCAAAATAGAACATAGTGCAAAAAGTTTTATCCATTACAATCTAAGCAAACAAATGTCATTATCATATATAAAATTGGGGGATGACATAGAGCGTAACTCAATAGCATCGCCTTATGAAGTCCTACCTGATTAATTGTCCCACCTGTGTCTCCTTCGGCATTGTTCTCTGAAGCTAGATTACTTAACTTAGCCAACCTCACTTCCATCGCCTTCTTCTCTAAGAGAGCAGCCTACAATATTCAAATGTAAAAACAGGAAAAGTACAGGGAAAATTGATATAAGGATAATTTTAAAAGATTAAATATACTAGCCTGAAGAGCAGTATCCTTTTCTTCACATAATGATCTAATTCTATCACGGTCGCACATAACTTCCATTAAGTCTTCCTTCTCTTTCCTCAAGGCATTTTTCAGACACTCCAATTCTTCTTGTGTTTTCAACTCTTGCTTTTGCTTCTCATGCAATTCACCCAACAACTAGATTCAAGTACATAACACATGAATTTCAAATGAAGTTTCCAAGACAGAGAGATGCAATCAGAACTTCAGAAGTCA